ATTTTAGAGACCCTCTGTCTCCTGCACCCACCCTCAGTTGAGGTCACAGGGAGCCTAGCACAGATCTAGGGCTCTGAGCAGCAGGGGTTGAATCTGTCACCTCCACTCAGGCTCTTCCTGTACCTTTGCTCACAGGTCTTGGATTTTCAGGCCCCACATGGGGCGGCTTTGTTTTATAAGCATTGAGCCCCCATCCTGCCAGTCTGAGCATTGGAAGCTTTCATTAAGAACTGTTGTATTTAAATTAGAGCTAATCTCAAACACAATGCTGGGAGAGGGTGCTGGGAGGGCCCAGAGAGAAAGCTGCAATTTCTCATGCCATTGTCACTCTACCAGCCCTGATTGCTAAGCAGTCCTGGCAAATGCCTGGGGTTTGCTTCAGCCAGAGGGTATAATTTGCACCACGTGTAGGGAGCTAAAATACCCCTTGGCATCCCCATCAACAAGGTCTGTCACAGTGCTTTGCTTTGTTTTTTCCCAAGTTCCCAGACCTGCAGCCTGGGGTGGGGGAGGGGAAGGAGGCGGTGCTTACAGAAACAGATCCCCCTGTTGGCTAAACTCTTAAGCGTTGCTCTCTACCTGCATGCCTAGAGAGCACATGAACCACAGCACTAATCATTCATATTTACATAGTGTTTTACTGTGGAGCCAGATGTTATCTTTTACATTTTAAATATCTTAACCCATCCAACTCTAATAATTGAAAGTGTGAATATTATGACTGTGTACATGTAATGATGGGGAGAATGAACCCAGAGAAGCCAATGATTTGCCCAAGGTTATACAGCCAGTAAATAATATAGTCCAGATTTGAACAAGCAGCAACCTGTGAGTATTTGGAGAGGCAAGTATCAGGAATGCACCACAGAATACTTGAATATGCAAAAACCACAGAGGAACAGACTCTCTTCATCACCATGAGACCAGAGGGAGTAGAGAACTAATCCTCACAGCCTGTGGGATAAGCCTTTGCAACCCACATTAGGTGTCACCAACACAGTTTGTGGTACCACAGAGCAGCAAGGATGAAATGTCCTGACTTTCTAGAGTCTCAGAAAATTGAGTCCTGGGAAATGACCCCCAGGCATATTCCCATCACCTATGGGAAAGAGCTCACTCCTGGCTAATCCACTTCCAATTATTGCTGGAGTTTGGTTGGGTTGCCAGGGTCCAGTCTTAGCCATATGCTCTCTTACACACAAGACAAGCCTAGATTACTGCCAGACCCCTGTGTAAAGGGTGGCCCCCACCCCTCTGCCTTCTCCAGGACTGAGTCTGTGGCCGAGAAGATGCTGACCAACTGGTTTGCTTTCCTTCTACATAAATTCCTGAAGGTAAGAGGGAGGGAGGGAGCAGGGCCAGAGCCAACCACACACCCTGGCCTTAGAAACAGCATGGGGACCTGTCCCTCAGAAACAAGGATTCCTTGGTGTGGATGCTCTTAAGCAAAGCAGGTCTGGGGTTCTCTCCTCTGGCTGCAGAGGTAGTAAGGAAGGTTCAGGCAGGGTCTAAACTCTCTACCCTGATATTCCTCCAGGAGTGTGCTGGGGAGCCGCTCTTCATGCTATACTGTGCAATCAAGCAGCAGATGGAGAAAGGCCCCATCGATGCTATCACTGGTGAGGCCCGCTACTCCCTGAGTGAAGACAAACTCATCCGGCAGCAGATCGAATACAAGACCCTGGTGAGGAAGCCAAAAGTCAGGTTCCAGCCCCGGTACCACCTGTGATTGTCCCTACTTTGCCTTCTAGCCCATGAGGCCATCTACCAAAAAGAGGCTTAGAGACCAATCTGGGGCAATCCAAAGGGCATATCAAGTATATGAAGAGCAAGGCAGACCTTTCCCTCATCTTAACTGATGAGCCAAAAGAGCTGCATGTGCCTCAGTTTACCCTAGATGATAATGAGGGAGGAAAAGTCTACTCACCATTAGGGACTGCATAATCAGCAAGGAAAGAAAGCAAGTGTAGGTCTCTAGTGTAAAAGCTTTGAGGACATGTGAGGCCAGCCCTTGATGCCCATGGATCTATCTTGAACCCTCTCAAGTGCCTCACACCCAAGATTACCTTTCGCCAAACCATCTAGGAAGTAGCATCCCTTTTTTTTTGTTTTGTTTTGTTTTGTTTTGAGAAAGGATTAATATCTTGGCTTCAGCTCTCACATTAGATGACAGGAAGAAGAAGAGAAAACCAAGTCTTAGGACAGAGAACCTCATTCTTCTCATAAGGAGAGCAAACCTTGGAAGAAGATTCTGAGGCCTCAGCTTCTTCCCACACTACTTCCCAAGTATGTCCAGCTCACCCTTGATCCCCTACTTACAGATCCTGAACTGTGTCAACCCTGACAATGAGAACAGCCCAGAGATACCAGTAAAGGTGTTAAACTGTGACACCATCACTCAAGTCAAGGAGAAGATCCTCGATGCAGTATATAAGAACGTTCCCTACTCCCAGCGGCCAAGGGCTGTGGACATGGACCTGGGTAGGAAGCCTGGCCTTGGAATTGGAGGGCAAGAGGGAAACATGGCTTGCCAGAGAGATGGCTAGGGAAAAGGGATATGAAGTTCTGCCTTGTACACAGCTCCCACTGGAGCATGACTAGTTTCTGGCCATGAGAAGTTCTTCTTTCCTAGGCTTTGTCGACTCAGATGTGAGTCTCTTACTCATCAGCCTCACCCTGCCCCCCTTTTGGATGTCTCTAAGCTCCACACTGACATCAGCCAATGGGGACAAGGTTACTAGATCTCTAGAGGACACACAGACAGGGTGACCCTGACTGCCCCCGCCACTCTCACTGCCGCCCATACCATCCTTTCTACCCAGAGTGGCGCCAAGGTCGGATTGCCAGAGTGGTGTTGCAAGACGAAGACATTACCACCAAGATAGAGGGTGACTGGAAGAGGCTTAACACGCTGATGCATTACCAGGTGAGGGCAGGCCCTCCCTGTGGCCTTCATCCCCAAGAATGTCCCCTTTTCTCTCTGTTAGAAGGCCTCCAAAGCCAAAAAAGTACTTTCCTCTCTCCATTTTCTTCTTCTGTGGGTCTGGAACAGGGACGCTCAACTGTGGCTGCCCATTTGATTAACTGGGGGAACTTACAAAACATGGGCTCTCAGAATAGATCTAACTGCCTGGGCTCCAGAAAGGTGCCTTGTGCTCATTTCTCTGGCTTCTTCCTAATGCCACTGGCTCTCTGGCTTGTAGCAGAATAGGGCACAGACTTGTCTTCAGCCCCGAAGATCCATAGTAGCTGGAAATGTTACTTAAGTGCACTTTCTTTTTACCTGTATGGGATACCCCAGCAGGTGTGTAGATTAGATTCAGCATAGAAAGTGACAAGGAATATATGTTTGTAATACTGCCAGACATGAAATGAACAATCATAAAAATTCCAGCAAATGAATATAAGCATCTACTCCACCCTGCTTTTGTCCCATGGGAACCACTCACAGCTTGGGGGTCTCTGTAAGATTAAGCACAGGTAGACAGATTGGGATTCAGGAAAAGTACTAAAATAGGAGCTAGAAATGAGAGACACCGAGGAAAATTAAGCCAACCAGAAGAAGTGCCTCAGGCTATAAGACCCAAGGGACTGTTTGATTAATAATATCCTCCTATGTGCCTGGCTTACAAAGAGAGACCTGCAGAGGGGCTGACTGACTGGCGAGGCTGAGCTACCAATGACCAGCCACTGGGAGGCCCTGGAGTTGGCCAAGTGCCTCAAAGCACAAAAGAGTCTCGGGGCACTGGGGATACCCCAAAGTATTCCTCCCAGCACATCCTCTATGCTGCACCTAGAGCTCAGCCCCAAGTGAGGGAAGGTGTGTAAATAAGAACTGAGGCTTTAAAGGTGTATTGTAGCCTAACACCCACTGTGGTGATGGGATTCTATAATTTCTCCCAACCTTGAGCTATTCATCTGTTCACTGGAGCTAACACCTATGACAAGGGAAGGCATGAAGGTAGCTGGAAGAATCAGAAGCAAGTGCACAAACTCAACATTTGCACTTACATACAAACAGGAGTAATCAAATCACTCCATGTTAATTCACACATGTAAACACACATACACAACAATCTTTACATGGTAAGTACATCCAGAACAATTGTAATGAACCAATTAGAGGTGAATGAGAAAGTGCAAAAGAGACTAAATCTGTGCCACCAAATCTTCTGTTCCTGAAGGGCTTGCTTAGGACCTTTGCTTTCATCCATCTCTGATACCTTAATGATTGTTCCTGGGTTACCCATCTTGTGACTTCCAATAGGATTAGAATATCCATTTCTTATTGTGTTCCTTTTACAAAACACTTCCAATTCCTTCATGTCATTTATTGTTCATATATTTCTTCATTCCTCAAATATTTACTGAGTGCCAGGCACTTCCTACACTCTAGTTCTGAGTGACAAGGGCAGCAGGGAATCTTCCTTCCTTTGAGAGATGATGAAGATGGTGTTATTATTCAAATGGCAACATGAATACCAACACATGCTGAGTGCTCACTTGGTACCAGGTACTTCACCAGCCTTTATGTGTCTTAATTTCTTTAATAATCATCACAACAGTGATTACCAGACATGATTATTATTCTCAGTGACAAATGAGACAACCAAGGCTCAGAGGGGCTAAGTCATTTCACTGGTAAGTGGTGGCAGAGCTGAGGTCAGATTCAGCCAGGTATTTTGAGCTTGGGTTTATACCACCTATTGACTAAAAGAGAGAAACAAAACAAAATAAAATAGGTGGGGTAGGGAGAAAGAGACAGAGTAAGAGAGAGTGAGAGACAGAGAAACAAAGGGGGAAAGGGATCTTTAGTAACCAACCTTGGAATTAGTCATGTTAGTCACCTTATGAATTTCCCTATAGATGACAACAAACCATAAATACTGTCATCTGTCCTCGCTGGGTGTATAAACTCCCACCCTTGCCCAGCTTTCAGAGGAGCATTTCTGGGTGGCTGGTGGCAAGAATTCTTGAGAGATAGGGGTAATGCCCCTTACCTCTCCTCAGTCATGGATTAAGTGCTGATAGTACAAATAACTGGCAGATCCAGAGCTTCTCCAGCCAGGAGGCGAACGCTGGCACCTCTTGGGAAGGACGGTGGCTGCACAGGGCTCAGGACCCAAGAGCTTCGCCCGCTCTGCCTTCTCGCTAACTTGCCTGGACCCCTGCAGAAGAAAATCATCTTAATTAACCAGGAAAGGGGTAAAAATCTGCCTGGGCTTCTGTGGATTTATAAGGAGGGTAAAATTAAACACCACCACTAAAGCTGGCTATCAGGGAATCTCGTTAACACTAATGTTCATTTATAGTTTGACTTCTCAACATTTAATTCTTTTTTGGTGAGAGAGAAGAACTGACAATTTAAGGCCCAGAAAGATGGTTTTATGGCTGGTGAGGCTATAAATCAAACTTACAAAGTTCATAAAAATTGTTAAAATAAAAAATGGTTTAATAGGAATGTTTTATGGCCCATAACATTATTATAGCTGTTTTATTCCCTCTGCGTTAGGGGTTTAATTGGATCACCACAATTCTGGGGATTCTCCGTTTTTATTAGATGGAGGGCAATCTTAAATCAAGATGGCCCCAAATGTCTTCTCTATGGCTCCTCATTCATCAGCCCTCCCCCAACTGCCGGTGCTAGGCCTGGCATCTTCTCAGAGGACAGGGCAATGTGCCATCTTTCTCACAGCTTCCCAAGGGCAGATGTCCTTTTGGTGAAACTATTCAAGGTGGCCAACACATAATACAACACAGGCCAGGAGGAAATTGGAGCCAAAGGAAAGATGGGGCTTAGACCAATGTGACTTGTAATAAAATCCAAAATCAGGAAATATAATGAGGAGACTGTGTACTCTGGAGACGTACAGGTCTGAAGAAAAATATCAATTCCTCAGTATATTAATGACAAGAGCTTGAAGCAGTGACTTAGCACACCCCCCACTTCTGTTTTCTCATCTGTAAAATGAAAATAGTCATTCATAACATGAGATGATGGGATGCTGAGCTAACCCTTCTGTCCAATAGAAATAGAATGCTAACTACACATGTGATTCTAAATTTTTCATTAGCTCCACTAAAAAGCAGAAACAGACTGTTGAAATAATGTTAACAATGTACTTTATTTAACTCAGCTTAAAAGAATTAGCCCAATGTATAATCAATATAAGACTAATTAATGACATCATTTATAGTCTTTCATTCAAACTAGTATTCTGAAATCGTGTGTGTGTGTGTGTGTGTGTGTGTGTGTGTGTGTGTGAGAGAGAGAGAGAGAGAGAGAGAGAGAGAGAGAGAGAGAAAGAGAGAACTCAGATGCCTAGTTGAGACTGGCTACATGTCAGGTGATCTAGAGACATAAAAGGCATGAATGGTTGTGGTAATATTTCTGAACTTGTACTAACCCCACACTCCCTAGAAGTACTTAACTTCTCAAGACACCTGAATTCCACCATGTTGTCCTTTTGTGCCCATCTTAGGTGTCAGACAGGTCAGTGGTTGCTCTGGTACCCAAGCAGACCTCCTCCTACAACATCCCCGCTTCTGCCAGCATCTCCCGGACATCCATTAGCAGATATGGTAAGCAGCCAGAATGCAATTGGGAAACTCAAGATCTAGGCTTCTGTGACCCTCAGGGAACACCTGCTCCTGCCCTTGTCAGGAAGCCCCTGTTGCTGCCACACCTTTACACAAAGGTACTGGCTCACCTGCCTCCTTCCTAAGGAGTCCTAAGGGCCATGTGTCTCCTTTGAGAAGAGGTAGCAGGTAGCACCACAAGCCCTTTCGTTGTTGTCTATGGCCAGTAAGGAGTTGGAGTAGCCTAGTACAGCTCTTTTCTCAAAAGTGTCTTAGTTTGTACACAAAATTGATCATTCTTTCCTTTCCACTCTCAGTCTCCTTGGGGCAACATGATTCATTCTCTCTTATTTTGTTTGTTTTGGTTCCATGTACACTCAAAGGCACTAGACAGCCCACCTGAAAGAAGTTATAGGACTAAAACAGTAGCTCAAAAAAGGGTTCAGAAAATATATTTCAGGACCTGTTAACTACAAAGAGAATCATTACAAATTGAGCCCTTACTATCTTAACTTTCTAGGGTGCCTGTGCGTGTATATATATATAGTCGACATTTTACTTGATTATTGTTCATTGCTAGAAACATCAGAAGAGAGGGGACTCCCAAAATCTCATGGGTGTCTGAGCTCTTAAAATTTCTAAATCTTCTTTCTAGAAATAGATTGTAGGCTCCTCTGTCTAACTAAGGATCCCTAAAACTATTCATGAAATATATAGTCCCAAGAGTCCTTTCAAGGTGAAGCATGTTTATTCTAAGAAGATGCAGCAGTTGGGTGGGATTCCTAGAGGATGCTTCGAGCAGGAGGTTGGCCTGCCTCACTCTGGCCTCCTCTACCCTCTTCCAGACTCATCCTTCAGGTACACAGGAAGCCCAGACAGCCTCCGATCTCGGGTCCCCATGATCACTCCAGACCTGGAGAGTGGTGTCAAAGTGTGGCATCTGGTGAAGAACCATGACCATGGTGACCAGAAAGAGGGTGACCGGGGCAGCAAAATGGTATCTGAGATCTACTTGACCCGGCTTCTAGCCACCAAGGTAACTCCTGCACTACCCAAGCCAAGCTATTCCCTACACTTTGGCACAAACACCTATGCTACAGGTGCTTCCTGCCCATTCTCCTGCTGGCTTCCACTATCTCTGCTTTTTATACCTGTTTGCTAGTCCCGTGGGAGAGATAACAGAAAGGCCTAGTTCAACCATCAATCTAAGGAAAGACTATCCCTCCCGACCCATTGCATCTCAGGCTGAGAGGAGATAAAGGCAGCACACTCTAGCTTTCCCAGGAGAGAACAAACCAAGCTTTCAAGGATGCTTTACCTTAGAGCTCAGGCCGGATTCTAAATGCTTTCCTCACTGATCCCACTGCAGTGCTGCAGGGACTCGAACACAGTTGCTTAAAGCTCTCAGACTTTCTCCCGGATTGATCCAGAACAACTCTATCAGACTCATGTCTCCATTCTTGCTTTGTTAAATATGCCCAGTATATCAATAAGAGATAACCAAAAGACATCAGAGAAAGTCAGGAGTTATACTAGTCCCCAAAGTGTGTCTGGACCCAGGTCCAGGCTTGTCGATGACTCTAGAATCCATGAAGCCTGTGGATCATGGCTGTTCCTGGGTTCTCTTGAAGCTAGATCTGAAGCCTATGCTCCTGACACTGACACCTTAAAGCATCCTTCCTGTCAGACCTTCTCCTCCCCCAAGCCCTTACCAGGGGTCCGATTCCCTGAACACCCTCTGTATGTAGACTCTGCTGCCAGCCTGAGCCCTCTCACTCATTCTAGGAAATCCCATTTCAGAGCACTTCCTATCCTCCCATCAAATGCCCTGAGCCCATCCCTTCAGGGCATGCTGCCACAGATTAGAAGAGAGATTCCTTCTGTGGATTCCCAGACTTGTCAGTCCCTCCCAACTCCACAATATCCCATACAGTACCTACCTCATTCCTGCCCCTCCATCTGCACTCTTTTGCACTTCAGACAAATTTCCAAGGTAGGATGGATGCAAGACACCATCTGGCATGCCTTCTGCTGCCCTCTAGTACCCACCCACCATTTCACTGCCCCCCTTACTCCCACAGGGCACCCTGCAGAAATTTGTGGACGACTTGTTTGAGACCTTGTTCAGCACTGTGCACCGGGGTAGCGCTCTCCCCCTAGCCATCAAGTACATGTTTGATTTCCTGGATGAGCAGGCAGACAGACACAGTATCCACGACACAGATGTGCGGCACACCTGGAAAAGCAACTGGTAACCCCAGGGGAGCTCAATGGGGGTGCCACCTGGGGAGGCCCAGCACTCTGGGTGTTGGGGACCAGCAGAGACTAGAGATGGGAGGTAGCTGGGTCTCAGCTGGGACTGGGTGATCTGAGGGTCCTGGAACATATCACACATAACACAAACACACACACACACACACACACACACACACACACACACACACACACACTGCAGAGTCAACATCATCCTCAAGGCTGCCAAGTTTTTAACCACAGAAGCAATAGAAAAGATGTTTTGAAGGCATGATCCTTGTTCAAGACACTTCCACATCCAGATTAGTGGTGAGAGAAGCAGCCTCCGATAGCCCCTAGCATGAGCCCCACCCCCACCCCACCCCCAGCTTTTGAGCCTGGACCACAGACTATGTTAAAGACTAGCTTATCCAAGAGCCAGAGTCAAGAAGGCTTCCTCTAGGACAAAGGGGGAAGGCATTTGGATTGGGCAGGAAGCCCACGCAGCTGTCTAGAGTCAGCAATCCCCAGAAAACAGAGCTGACACAGATGGGCTCAGGCTGTTATTTGGAAATCAAAAGTCCTAGCAACCAGCAAAATACTTTGAAAGAGCCAATGGGGTCTTGGAATAGACCTTCATTCTCTTGGTGTTGTGGCCACTGGGCCCTCCTCATCTGCAATTTTTGGTCACAGTGGAGTGACATGGAGAGGTTCAGTGGCAGTAGGTGAAGAACATGCAGTAAGCTCCACCAAAGCAAGTCCATGGCATCCCCTCAGCTTTGTAGGATATCCAGCCCAGTACTGGGAATGGAAGTTGGGGGACATTCTCTGTGCCTTCTGGCTAGACTCAAGCAACAGTAATGCACCCTCCTCCCCCAGTGAGATAATGTGATTAAGCTGAGTCACGTGGCTCACACTTCATAGAGCAAATATCCAAGGGAAAGAACTTAAACGTGTCCAGCACTGCCAGAGGAGGACAGGACAGAAGAGCTGTGTCAATGCTGGCTGAGGTGGCTCCTCCTAGGTTTCAAGAAAGGATTGTGGGTTGAGGACAAACAAAAATTACAAACAGAGGCTTGAGAGGGGACCGACACTGACATTCCCAATGTCTAGCATTAGAAAGGCACTTGGAAAATGTGGAGATGATGAAGTCATCAGAATGTAAAGAAAAGAACAGGGAAAGCTAAGGACAGTACTTAGGCTAGAAAGGCAAGCCCATGACAGAGTTCATGTCACACAAGCATCAGAAGAGTCAAGGCTAGAAGGCAGCTGGAGAACACAGACTTTGGAAAGAAGCAAAACAGTAGCTATGGAAGCTGTCCTGGTTTTGAAGGGGGGCAATGTTCGTACTGCCTTA